CTGCCGGTGCATCTTGGTCAGCTCACTTGGGCCGTGGGAGTCTGTGTGGAGGAGGGCAGGACAGGGTGATTTCTTAGGTCCTTGCCAGTTGTTTCCCTCGGGTTTTGAGTTCAGGCGGGTTTTCTGCATTTCCATTCTTTGAAAAGGCTGGGTGACAGACGGAAGTACTTGACTCTGATGGTCGCTGGCCTCCAGTGTCAGTTACTACAAAAGAAAGGAGGGTTTTCCCCAGCAAGGGTAGGTGGAGCTCTGTAGCTTACTGATAGTTCTCTTTCCTCATTCTGTCCCTCTTGCTTCTCTTCCTCTTCCTCCTTTTCTTCTGCGGCTGCTTCTTTTGAATTTTGTAGTAAAAGAACCAATTGTGTTCATACTCTGAGCTTCCTAAGAAGCAGTGGCTGGGTCTAGAGTAAAACCTTTGGGCCAGATATATTAAAATGTGTAATAAAGCAAAATGATATCATGCTGATCACATATTTTTATTTTTTTAAAAAAATACTTCATTTAGAGAGAGTATGAGCTGGGGGAGGGGCAGAAGAAGAGGGAGAGAGAGAATCACAGACTCCGCGCTGAGCACAGAGACGACTTGGGGCTCGATCCCGTGACCCCAAGATCGTGACCAGACCCGAAATCAAGAGTCGGAGCCTTAACTGACTGAGCCACTCAGGTGCCCCCATGCTAATCACATATTTTTAAATAAATTCAGTGGTGGTATTTCCCAAACAGATGTACTTCTGCCGTGCTCTCAATTTCATTTGCGAAGTCATAATGGAAAGTTGCTATTGAGAGAGATACAGCAAGTTTGCTTTAATTAATAGATTTGGGTTTTTTTAATCAAAGTATAATTAGTGTTCTATTAGTTTTCAGGTGTACAGTCTAGTGATTACTCCGTGCTCATCATGCTCAGTGTACTCCTAATCCCTTTCACATGTTTCGCCCATCCCCCACCCCTTTCCCCTCCGGGAACCTCCAGTTTGTGTTCTGTATTTAAGAGTCTGGTTTTTTGTCTCTTTATTTTCTTTATTTGCTCATTTGTTTTGTTTCTTAAATTCCACATATGAGTGAAATCATATGGTATTTGTCTTTCTCTGACTGACTGCTTTCACTTAGCATTATACCCTCTAGGTCCATCCACGTTGTCACAAATGGCAAGATCTCATTCTTTACTGTGGCTGAGTAATATTCCAGTGTCGTGTGTGTGTGTGTGTGTGTGTACCATATCATCTTTATCTGTTCGTTTATCAGTGAACACTTGGGCTGCTTCCATATCTTGGCTGTTGTAAATAATGCTGCAGTAAACATAGGGGTTCATATATCTTTCCAAGTTAGTGTTTCCATTTTCTTTGGGTAAATCCCAGTAGTGCAATTACTGGATCGTATGGTCATTCTATTTTTATTTATTTACTTTTTTAGAGAGAGGGAGAAAGGGGAGGGAGAGAGAGAATCTTAAGCAGACTCTATGCCCGTGCAGAGTCCGACATGGGGCTCCATCTCACCACCCTGAGATCCTGACCTGAAATCAAGAGTCAGACGCTTAACTGACTGAGCCACCCAAGTGCCCCTATTTTTAATTTTTTGAGGAACATTCATACTCTTTTCCACAGTGGCTGCACCAGTTTGCATTCCCACCAACAGTGCACGAGAGTTCCTAATAGACTTTTTTTTTAGAGCAGTTTTTGGTTTATGGAAAGACTGCGCAGAAAGTATAGAGTTCCCACAATACTTCCTCTCCCCACCCCTAACACATCCTCAGTTTCTCCCATTATGAACTTGAGCCTTGGTGTGGTGCATTTGTTGCAATCAATGAACCAATATTGATACATTATTATTAACTAAAGTCCACAGTTTACATTTGAGTTAACTTTGTATTATGCAGTTCTAATGGGTTTTGACAAATGCTAATGCCAGATATCCACAATTAAAGTATCATACCAATTTACTGCCCTGAACGTCCCCTGTGCTGTACCTCTTCCTCCCTCCCCAAGCCCTTGTCAACCACTGATGGTTTTACTGTCTCCATAGTTTTGCCTTTTCCACAATGTTCTATAGTAGGAATCATGGACTATGAAGCCTTTTCAGACTGGCTTCTTTTACTTAGCAGTAGGCATGTAAGATTCCTTCATTTCTTGTCAGGACTTGATAGCTCATTTCTTTTAAATGTGAATTTTCCGTTGTACAGATGTACCAGTTCCTTTATCCATCACTTATAGAAGGACATCTCAGTTGCTTCCCATTTTGGGCAACTAGGAATAAAACTGTTCTAAACACTCCTGTGAAGGTTTGTGTAGATAGAAGTTTTCAACTCATTGGGGTAAATACTTAAGAACTTCTGCTATTTTAATTAGCTAAAGGCCAGTGTCAGAAAAAAATACATTTGAAAGCTCCTATGTTTAAAAATCAACCTATAATAGGTTTTACAGGTTTGTTTTTGTTTTTGTTTTTTTTTAAAGGAAAGGTAGAATGGATGTTCATTTCCTATGCCTTTGAGTTGAAGGTGAATAACCATCAAATCTAAGTAAATTATAAAAAATGTTCCAGGGGGCGCCTGGGTGGCTCAGTTGGTTAAGCAACTGCCTTCGGCTCAGGTCATGATCCTGGAGTCCCGGGATCGAGTCCCACATCGGGCTTCCTGCTCAGCAGGGAGTCTGCTTCTCCCTCTGACCCTCTTCCCTCTCGTGCTTTCTATCTCTCATTCTCTCTCTTTCTGAAATAAATAAATAAAATCTTTAAAAAATAAATAAAAAAATAAAAAAAATAAAAAATGTTCCAGGTCTGAGGCAAGGCCAGGGAAATAGGAGCAGAGAGAGGCAGAACATGAGTAAGAGAAACTCTGCACTAGGAAGGGATAGTCACCACAGAACTAAAACCACGTGCCACAGCCTTTGTTCTTTCCTTAGAAAATCCTAGGTATTCAGAGTTGGAAGGAACCTGAGGGAGTCAGCCATTGATTGTGAGATCATATACCGTATACCATATCATACACCATATACCATCATATTCTTATACCAAGAAAGAAAAAACTGCCAGTTTACTGACGTGTCATCAGTGGTAGGACACATCCTGATGTAAATGCTACTAACATATGAAGAAATGTAAGTCTTAGAACTGGTAAAATACAGTATTCACCACAGATGGAGTAACAGGCATGGGACAAAGAACAGTATGATGCTCACGTATTTGGAGTGGCAGAAACTTGAAGGTTTTGCCTAATGGCTTTTATTCCTTCTGGAAAGTAAAGTCAGAGTTCATCTTCTGAGGAGGAGGAGCTAAAGGGAGGCCTTAGCAGCTCCAGAGTGGAAGGTCTTTGAGTGAGTCATTGACAGTAGTGGAACCCAGCAGACCCAGGAAATGGTAGAATGGCCGGGAAGCACTGAGGGTGCCCTGGGTTAGGGACACAAACTCACAGTGACACCAGACTACATGGCTGTGATCTGAGTCAGGAGTGGAGAGAGTGGACAGTGGCACAGTGGCTTCATCTAGGATTAAGGGTTTGCTGGGCAGGGCGACAGAAGAACAGTGGGCAGAGGCCTTGCAGACGCAGACTGTGAGATAGTACAGGGCCATAGGCGCGTGGCAGAGCCCATGCTGAAGATGAGAAATGCAGGCCATGCGAAATGGGTAATGTAAAGGCCAACAGTAACATTTTGTGTTCCCCCCAGGATTGACTGGAAATACATTTATAATGTTACTTACTTACACTTCTTAGATAGACACCGAACTAGGTATAAACTCATTTTACATAAAGACATTTACAAATTAAGTAGGAAAAAAAATATTTTTCAAACAACAAGGTAGGGGCACCTGGGTGGCACAGTTGATTGAGCAGTCAACTCTTGGTTTTGGCTCAGGTTGTGATCTCAGGGTCGTGGGATCAAGCCCTGCATTGGGTTCCATACTCAGTGCGGAGTCTGCTTGAGATTCTCTCTCCCTCTCCCTCTCCCCCAACCCCCCCCACCTCAAATAAATCAATCAATCCTTTCGGGGCACCTGGGTGGTTCAGTCAGTTAAGCATCTGCCTTTGGCTCAGGTCATGATCTCAGGGTCCTGGGATCAAGCCCAGCATCGGGCTCCCTGCTGAGCTTCTTTCTCTCCCTCTGACACCACCGCCCCCTGCTCATGTGCTCTCTCTCAAATAAATAAAATCTTTTAAAAAAAAAAGGTAAATGTTATGCCCTGGTTGTTCATGTTTCAAGTTCAAGATGGGAATGACTTGAGGCTCAAATTCTTTGCATTTCATCTGTCTGTGCTCCCTTAGGAATGCAGGGTTACTACGCAGATCACCTTCGCATTTGGCATGCTTATTAGTAATAATACAGCCCTATCAGGGCTACCACTCAGCTCCCCTGCACCTTCTTTCTGTTGAAATTACTGTGGAACTTTTGTTTATGCAACACTCAGATGGCATTTTGGCTTTCACTTAATTCAAATGCATCATTTGCAAGTTAGCCCACCTGTATTCTTTTCCAGCAAATCTGTCATAGAGTGTGGTAGTGCTGTAGATGGCATCACCACAAATGCTTTAATCGGATAACACAGAATGCACGTGTGTGTGTGTGTGTGTGTGTGTATTGTCATCAGAATTAAAACAAAAATATATATAAATTGATGGGCATCTAAGATCCCTTAATTTGAGAAAACACTGGCCAAGAGCAGTGGTTCTCAAAGTATGGTCCGGGGACTGCCAGCATCATCAGGTCAGTCACCTGGGAACTTGTTGAGTCGAGTCTGATGTAAGCCAGAGGGTGAACTGCTGCTCTACCCTAACTGAATCACCCATTTTACAGATGAGGAAACTTGTGGCCCAAAACCTGCTGCTCAGAATTGTAGTTAGTTTCTATGAAAACTGGGTCTCAAACCTGAACCTCTGGGCTTTAATCCATTTCTGTTTCCAAAGCACTACATTGTCATTTCTTTCTCAGTTTTTATTTTGTTTTCTTTGGTTGGGGTTGGATTTTAAAGAGTGTTCCTAAAGTTTTGGGTTCTTGTCATTTTGTTCCTTATAGTGCCAGAACCTACTAAGACCTGTTCAAGCCAGCCCCAACCTGCCGGTACCAGTACCAGCACTTGCACCAGCACTCTGTCCAGCAGCAGCAATGGCAAACGTGCATCTGCCAGCAGCCAGCAGCCAGCTGCGTCCCGTTACCTGCCTCGCGAGGTGCCTCCACGCTTCCGCCAGCAAGAACAGAAGCAGCTGTTAAAGAGAGGCCAGCCATTGCCTGCAGGGGCTCTGGCCAGTGTGAGCCCGACCCAGGGTGCTGGGCCTGCAGGCGTAAGCCCTCCTCCCCTCCCTGGAGCCGGCGCACAGCAGCATCCCAGTAAGCTCCAACCAGGTAAAAACACATAGAATGAGGCATTCCTTTTATCAGAACCGGTGTGCTATTTTCAACTTTGCTGTACAGTGATACAAATAGACATATTTTGGTCCATATTCACTATATGCATATAATGAAGTAAGCTAGCTAGCTAGAAGGTGGATAGATTCATTTCAATTAAATTTTATTTTATTTTTTTTAAAGATTTTATTTGAGAGAGAGAGCGAGCGCACGAGCGGGGGTTGGGTGCAGAGGGAGAGGGAGAAGCAGGCTCCCCGCTAAGCAGGGAGCCTGATGCGGGGCTCCATCCCAGGACTCCAAGATCATGACCTGAGCCGAAGGCAAATGCTTAACTGACTGAGCCATGCAGGCGCCCCTCAATTGAATTTTAAAATTCAGTTCTGTTTCCTCCTACTTCTGTATATTATTTCTCATCGATTTTCCGATGGGATTAGCTCCTTCAGCTAAGTTTGTTTCTCACCAGAAACTAGAGGTCTGCCCAAGCGTACATGTGCATCTGTCAAGGCAGATGCCATAGAATCCTGTGGCGACAACTCTTAATGAAACCTTCCTGCCCATTTCCGAGGCCGGCCCGTGGGGAGGTCACGGCGTTTGATCGGGAGTGGGTGCTTCTGTCACTTGTTCAGCCAAACCTGCCAGGTCTCGTGCTCAGCCCCTGCGTGTCTGGGGTTCTGAGCCCCCTGCTTCTTGCTGGCATCCTTGCCTGCCGGTGGACACCAGCTTTCTCTTGACCCCTCAGAGAAATCCCCACCCGTCCGTTTACTTGTCAGCCCACAGACTGCCTGCCGGCAGCTCCCCTGTCCTCTCTCCCCCCTTCTACCTTCTCAACCTTACTGGTGGACTCCTACTTGAAACGGTTGCTTTACCAAAGTGTTAGAGAAATTTTTGGAAGAGAGCAGAGTACATGTGTTCAGCTGCTGTGTTTCCCTGTTAATTTTCTTAAATCGTTCCATTTCGAATGATTTCACGATCAGCATTGGTGCTGGTATGGACACCGTATTTGCTGATGGTAGTGAGACTCAGGCCTCAGAAGCAAGGAGGCTTCTTACATTAGATCGGGATCTAAGAGAAACCTGCCACAAGTTATATTAATATTTCTTTCATGTGCTGCTTTCTAACATAGAGAATAATTCCAACATGGCTTAAGAGTTGGGTTTTTTTTTTAAGATTTTATGTATTTATTTGACAGAGAGAGAGAGACCGCAAGAGAGAGAACACAAGCAGGGGGAGTGGGAGAGGGAGAAGCAGACTCTCTGCTGAGCAGGGAAGCCCGATGCGGGGCTCGATCCCAGGATCCTGAGATCATGACCTGAGCCGAAGGCAGACGCTTAAGGACTGAGCCACCCAGGCATCCATGGCTTAAGAGTATTAATAGCAGTATTTCTCAAAACTCCCAACTTTGTAGTATCTTTGAAACAAATATTTTTAGCTTGGCCATATGTCTTTAAATAGTCTTGACTCTCATCTGCTGAATTCCTGGTAGAGGGTATGTAGGTCAGTGGTTGTCAGCAAAAAGCAAGGAAAAAAAAAGAAATTATCAAATATAGTCATTGACCAAGAGTATACTTGGTCTACTTCACCACAAGCAGTTATTATCAAACAGTTACTTTCTACACTGAAACATGGTCCTCAGGAAAATCTTAACACAGACAAGGAGTGTGTAGTCATCCCTAAATAGCTTGGTGTTTTAACTTCAGATGCTTGTTTTGAAAAACTGGAAAAGAACTGTAACAACCCTGCTTTTTTCAGGCCTTATCCCATTGTTCCATGATTAGTTGGCAGGACCACATCGGGGTTCCCATCAGATGCTGTTGGTGCAAGACGTTACCAGGACTTACTTAGATAAGTAGAAAATAAGGAATTGCTTCTCATTTGGGGGTTGAAAATAATATCCTTTATTAAAATATTGGTCTCTGTAAATAGCCTCCGGAAAGCTATTTCTAGTTTATTAGAGTTAAAGATAGATAGATAGATAGATATAGGGGGAGACTAAATCAGCATTTTCTGTATAAACATCTCAGAAAATGGAATCAATCTATATTATATTAATAAAATAAGAAATGACTGATTTTTGGCTCCCAAACAAAAGTCTTCATTTTATACCAATTTCATCTCTTTCCCAACAGTTGCTGGTATCATAGCCAGATGAACCTTTCTGATTCAGGTCCCCTCAAAACCTGTCCTGCCTTGCTAGTTCCTACTGCACAAAATCTCGCTTTCTCTGCCTGGCTGTCAAGACAGCCTTGTCTAGTCAGCGTTTTCCCTTCTATTCTGTTTGGCTTACTTTCCATTCTACCAGCACTGTTTCCTCACTGTGTCACAAATACGCCAGGCTCAGTGTTGTCTGTTCCAGTACGTGCATGCACCTGATGGCCTCCCCCTTCCTTTCTGGTCCGGGTCATCACGGCCCTGCCCCACGAAGCCCCTTCCGTGCTTCCATTCTCTGCTCCTCTTGCTGCAGGAAGGTGCTCAGTCTGCAAATACATCTTCACCTTCATGGCACACTGTGCAGCCTACATTGTTTGCTGATTAATTGTAAGAGTCTCAGGTCTTGATTAAATTGAAAGTATCCTATAAAGAGTCTCACTTTCCTATGGTATCACCAGCCTAGTGGGGTGGAATGAGCTCTGCACTGTGGGGCTGGGGGGTGTCCTGGCAGCTATAGCACTGGTCATACCCCCCACCTAGGACTTCAATCTCATCCAAAATCACAGGTCTGAACCTCTCAGGACCTCTAATCTCTAAGGTCTCTTCCCTTTAATTTCTGAGTCAAATATTGTTCCAAAGAGCTTGTTTTGTTTGATTTTGTCCATGGAGACATTGCGGGAACTCCGTCTGGTGTTGTTTGGGAATCAGCACGGGGATTGCAGGGGGGGCAGCAACGCGCATGGAGGCAGCATGGCTGTGGGGTCAGGAGACAGGCTGGTGCAGCCACGGCCTAATAAAGTTTCCAGACCCATGACCTCCTGTGTGACTTTGACCAAGTCACTTTCACGGCCTGCCCTCTAGAGTTCTCACCTGTGACCTGGGGGGATTCCTACTCTACAGGACTCCGAGGGTGAGATATTTCTTTGGTACTCAGCAGAGGGCCTTGCATATAGTAAGTGCTCCATAAGTGCATCAAATAAGTGCCCGTCTTTGACATGCTATTATGGAGCAGCAGTTGTTTCTTAAGCTTGCAGAATTTTTAAAATGAATAAATTCCTCACAGTGCAATAAAGCTTTCTCATCCTAGGGGGCGCCTGGGTGGCTCAATCGGTTAAGCGTCTGCCTCTAGCTCAGGTCACGATCCCAGGGTTCTGGGATCAGGCCCCGCATCGGGCTCCCTGCTCAGTGGGGAGCCTGCTTCTCCCTCTCCCTCTGCCTGCCGTTCCCCCTGCTTGTGCGCTCGCTCTCTCTCTCAAATAAATCTTTAAAAAAAAAGCTTTCTCATCTTTCTCTGACCTGTGTACATTTTGAAATTTCAGCTATCCTTCCCAGAGTTGAAGCATTCTGTGAACTTTTTCTTGGTGCAAGTTACTTAACTAAATTCATATCCAGGTGAAATCCGGAAGAGTAGCCACATTTTCTTGCTACATTGAAAGTTTTCTAGATACTGCTTCAAGTAAAAGCTTGTATAATTTTTTTTTTTAATAATACATAGATTGTCACTGAGTTTGATTCTGGGTCAGCAGGTTTCCACCCCTGTAGCCACACCTGAAAAATGCAGTTTTGCTCATGATTCCATTCCTCTGACAGTAAGGTTAAGTTAAAAAGTAGGAATGTTCGGTCACTGAACTAAGATCAAGTTACCCAAGCCGGGAGCGGGTAAGTGACTCATCCTTAAGATTTTAACAGCAGACCATTTCTCGTGAAAAAATTGGAAAGGGAGTATTTCAGCCCAGCACATTAATTTCTGTTTTTCCCAAGTGTATCAGCATGTGGACTCTTTTTCACCCAACAAAGGTATAGTGTGATTGGCAAAGATTAAAGAAGGTTAAATATCCCTGGAAAGAATCAGTGGACTTTGAATCACCTTTATCATAGCTTTAAGAAGTTATAGTGAAAACTTGCTATAACTTAATTAATGAGCATCCTGGTTCTCTCCCATCTGAGTGCAGGGCCGTTTGCCTTACTTCCTCCTCCCTGTGGAGGGATTGTCACAGTGTTTGCTGGAGTAAGCGAGAGCGGCCTTGTCCACCCCGGGATATACAGAAAGCACTTGTAGGTACCAGTGAACAGTGTAGGTGTGTAAAGAATTGAAAACTGAAGGCATACTCGTTTTAGCCCAGCGAGCGTAGCTACATTTTCTGTACTGTTACGTAAGGCAGTGGTAGCATATGCAAAGAGACCCAGACTGACAGTCATTTCTGTATTCGTTCTTTTCCTTTATGTTCCACATGCTTTTGAAAAGGATATGTCAGTAGATCAGTCTGGCTCTTAAAGTTTTGTTATGATTCACCTTGTAATTTACAGTAATCTGTCAAACTTGTTCATATGGAAAAATTGCATTGCCAGTTTTTGCCATTTTTTGACAAGCCGATACGCTAGCTTAATACTTTTGCACCGTGTCTTTCCTCATCAGAATGCCTAGGCAGTAGTCCCACACACAGCTTGCATACCTTTGACAGGGGGAGAGGCTAACCTGCCGGAACTGTGGTCTCTTCAAGCATGTCTGCATTAAGTCACCAAGCAAAACATTTCTTGAATGCCTACTAAGTATAGGGATACATAGTCATGCCTAAGTGGGTTGGCGTGCCAGTAAGAGATAACAGCGGGGAGCCACATGCCCATTAACCCAGACTGAGGATGGGGGACTTGCCAAGGAAGGCTTTCCCATGGAGGCGACCTGAGCTGAGTTTTGGATTAGCTGTGAAAGGCAGGTGATAGAGCAGCCTCCGTGGGTGATGAAGGTGGTTCAGTGTGGCTGAAGTGCAGGGGGCAGTAAGGGGAGATGGGGCTGGAAAGGTAGCTGTTAGTATTACTAAGTAAAGCAATAAACTAGCACAAAAACTTAC